ACGCGTCCGGTCGTATGAAATAGGGTGAATGACGATTCATCTGACCATATTACCTGTTGCCACTCCAGTGGGGACCAGCCTTTGTGATCTCTGCACAATTAGCGTTGCTTGAAAGCATTAGTTGCTCTCACCAATGGTTTACGATTGCCACTCTGCCATAAATGTTCGCAGCATGAAGTTCCCTTTTGACAGTTTTTATTGAAACGGGGTCCTGGAGATGACTGTTCATTTCGGATGCTATCTCGGATAACGATTGCTTATGCTTTCGGGCTACTATGCGCTTCAAGACCATCTATCCCTGTCAGAGAGTTTTGACTTTCGGCCACTGTTGTGCTTTGAAGACGTCGTCTTACCCTCTTTCGTGTATGCTGTCATAATGGCTGATACCGTACTCCTTGCACACCCCACAATGTTTGTAGTTTCCATAACCGATGCTCCACTTAAACGTGCTCCAACTATCATTCCTCTTTGGAACTCTGACAGGTCTGACATTTCACCTTCTCACAGACAGTTCATTTAAAGCATGCGACGCAGGTGACTGCTGTTGAGAGAATGATATCTTCCTCTTCAGGCTCAACTAGGTGGCAGACTTCTGTTGCAGGTGGCGTGGCTGTACTGCGGGTGTGAAATACGTCATACTCTTCCACAGGTTTTCGCATTATTTTGTCTTCCATCTGTATGTTAAATAGCCGCCCAGATGGTTATAGTGGTTAAGGGAGCCTGACTGCGATACCATAGGGCCCGCGTTTGAGTCCTGGAGAAGGCATGGATGTAAAATTGTCCTGTCCCTTCATAGGAGGTAACGGTGGCCGCCTGTTAAGTGCCTCCACAATAAAATGATCACCACTTCTGGCCTTAGTAGTGGTCAATGCCGTTATAGGCAAGTGCCCGCCATTGGAAAAAATATATTTCATATATATGTAAGATAAAAAAATATGTAGATCAAAATTATAATTTAAACTAACGGTAGCTCTTTAATTCTTCCTCTCTGTTATAAAAATCGTAATAACTTCTCTGGATTACTTCATTTTTAGATCCTTCCAATTTGCATGGCCTGCGCAACGCTGATGACGTAGTAATTGGAAAATGAAACTTTTTAACTCAAACCAAAACATTTCTCATCGTGTGCTTCCATCTTGCATAACTACGCACTTCAGCTTCGCTCTCTGCCCTGCTAGGATGTAATTTCCCTGTCTTTGCTTGCTATCGCTATAATATCAAAAATGTAAATGTTCTTGAATAGTGCCAAGTGAATTGTGGCCACAAACGTCAACTGGAAAATAAAAATGGAATTAAAACTGCTTCGACTGCCAAATTTCTTAGATATTATCAAGTCAACATATTAGCATACTACGCAATTAGAATTCTTCAATATGGATCTAAGTACTCACGGACGGTGTTCCGGCTTTCCCTTGCTTTTATTATTTCATTGTTAAAGACAAAGTAAGAAATTTAGAACTAAAATTTCACAAAGACCAGAAATTGAAATTCATAATTAATAAATTTCAAATAATCATAGAAATGCAAAAATAAATTAAAAAATTTTAAAACCAAAACATTTCAAACAAGCAAAACTCCTCTTAAAAAATTATGAAATTAAAAGAAAAATGAACAAAAACAGAAGAGGAATTCAATCAATCTCAATATCACTTCTTCAGGGAGCAGGAACCTTGAAATTAATTGAAATCTCTCTTTATATATATACATATATATATGTCAAGGTACGCTGTTACATTGTTAGTACATTTTTAATTTTTCTCCCCAGTTAAACGTTCAGATAACAGTAACGATTAATTGAGGAGAAAATTACAGTCCTAGATCTTATTATTAAGTTTTCAGAGAAAAGTTTAGAGCGTTAATAGTTTATGGCTAAGCACGCGAGGGCTATCTGCCTATGAGGAGGGATGCCTTCGTGGAGGACTTTCTAAGGGAATCTGGCTTGTATACTAGTTACACATGGGGAAAACCACTAAAACACCCATGCAGCCAGCTCGTTCGCTTGGAATTGAACCCAGGTCGGAACTGCCACTGTTTATCGACTTTACCGCTCAGCCGTTTGTGGGTCATTCCCATATGTAAAACGAATATGAGTCTGTTTCCCTTAGAAAAGGCATACTTCCACGTAGGCAGACCGTCCTCGCATGCTTTGCCCAAATCAAACAAAAATATTTGTACTACCTGTACAGTTTATTCATAACCTTTTAAGCTTTCTTTAATTCTCTTCATTTACATACTTTTAGACCTTTAAACTTGATTCTAAGAAATTGCTAAATTAGAAATTTTAATTTGTTAAAGATTTTTAATCTCCTTTTCCTTTGTCATACAGTTCGTTTAAGCAATAAGAGACACTTACCAATATAGTGTTACATTATATGTGATAGAAATGTGATATTGATGTGTCATCAATATTTTCTTCTTTAGGTAATTTTTTTCTTTAGGTTCATTTCAATATTTTCTTCTTTAGGTTTTTCTTTCTTCTTTAGGTAGATGAAGTCCAGATACTGTGTCCTGGTCAAAATAGCTTCAGTGACGTAGATGGAGAAAAATATTCTTTAATTACGATACTTATCTTGTAATATTAAAATAGGGCATCGTCTGATGCTTTAATGCGTCTTCTCCTGTATGGCAAATTTCAGTTGCATAAAATGGACACCATTCTAGTTCTCAAAGCCTGTCATCCCCGACATATTTCAGTCTTGTCTTAAACCAAAATCAACAAAATCACAATCAGTATTCAGAAGGCAAAGCGTGTTTTTTTCCCAGCCGTAATAGCTCGCAAAGATTTTATCATTTTCTGCTTCTTGGCTATTAATTGTTGCTGCTGAATTTTTATCATTAAATTCCTTATTTTCTTTCTTCTCTCTTTTTAAAGTTATTTGATGCAGTATTCTTTGCAAACTCTCAGCCTCTGGCTGGCACGCAAGCACGTTTTGTTCCGAACAAGACGATGAACCGGTTTCTAAATCAGAGATCTGAATTTCATCGAGACGTTGATATTTCGATAAAAATAAAGATAATTATAGGGAGTTTTTTGTCTGCTATTTTCACTACTTTTATTTTCCTTCTTCTTCTGTTAGTTTTGAATAATCGTGAACTTTTAGATTTTATATGCGCTTGCGCTGTACCTTTTCAATAAAACCTTTCCCTTCCTTTTTTTTATACAATCATATATAAACATGTGCAAATTTCTTTGCAAAATTTTTTTTTCAGTTAAAATAATAAAATTCTCTCTTATTTTCTTATCAATAGATCGAGAACGAAAGGAAGACTTTAATCTAAAAATCATTTCACGCAGTATGTCTTGCGGAAATTCAGTTTAACGTCGCTTTTATGGGCAAAGATGTTACGCAGCTTATAATTCACATCATAGTTGTCAATCTTCTATTTTCTTAGTTTTTTGGGGGCAAAGGGGGATCCATATTAAAATCAATGGTAAATAATCGAAATTACAATTATTTAATCATTAATTAATTACATTATAAAAAAAGAACTTATAATATTACCTCGAATTTTGTGGATCATCTTGTGCAATTACGCCGTTAACTTTACATTATCAAAACACCAAGGCAATCATAATAGACTGTCAGTCGACTTTCTAAATTCTTAGCTAAAAGTGTCATCACAACTAAAGTACAAAGTTAAATAAAACTAATTATTGACACTTTGACATGACTGTTGCACAAACTGAAAAATATTGACAGGAAAAGATTTCCGATGACTTGAGGGTAACCAATATATATTCAAATTAAATCAAATGGCAAAATAAAAAAATTAACAAGCCTAACCTAAATTTTGGCTCGCTCTTGACTAAGTGCTCGCGAAGTAATCGTGGCTAGCAGAAACTTATGCCAAGTTAAATTGCAACAGTAGAAAATCTAATTCAGAATGATAGCTTTAAGAGAGCAGAAAATATCTTTATTTTTTAATTTCTGTCCCCTAATACCAGACCAGTTATTAATCAAATAATAAACTTCTGTAATGTAAGTCTCAGAAGTCTACTTTTACAAATTCAAGGGGACAAAGTGTGAGTAACGCGATGCTACTCGCAAGACTCTTATATGTTAAAGAAAACTCTTCCAGATTCGAAGTTTTCCTAACCTTTCTATTAAAAAATTTCTCATGTAATCGTTTCATTATGCATTGTAACTCACTTAACTGAATTTCGTTTAATACAAAACCGAATCAATCGAAACATAAATAATATAAGAAACTAACAGAATAGAAATACGGAAAATTGGTGCGCTCAAAGTACATATTTATTGTTGTGTTTTGTTTTTTAATTGAGGAATATTTTTGCTACAGTGCTTTAAATACAATTTAAAAAATATTTCTTTTAGTGTTCCAGTTTGCCTTACCTTTTGTTGAAAGAAAGTAATGAAACAATAACAACTGATAATACACTCGTCAAATGGTGGTTCTTTACAAGCATTCTTTAAAAAAATAAAAGAATATCATCCATTATTTTAAAAAAATTGTTGTGCACATGTATAACATGAAAATTTTTTTTAATATTTAGGTAACAATTCCTAAGATTTAATAAAAAAAGTTTTATTGAAACTGATTTCGTTCTCATTAGTTTGATTAAACTAAGAGGGAAAATAGAAGATTCTACGGTACAAGATTAAAAAAAATATAATATTTTCTTTGAACTTTTACAACAATAAATACATTTCGCATGAAATCGAAGCCATCTTACATCATTACCTGAATATGCGTCATATAGAAACAAACGATGACTGCCTTATATAAAAACAAACGTATCATTCGAACTGTTTAAAAGTAGCATCTCTACACTTATTCTTTTTTAATTTTTAAAATTTAGATACAAGGGCATTCTCCATTCCATGCTTGCACACATTTGTAACAAAGTTCCGATAAAATTCCAATCTAGTATCATCAGCTAAAGAAACGAAGCCATTAATTTGGTAGTAAGCTGGGACTGTAGAAAATTTCACAAAAAAAAGGGGGGGGCTCACATGAATATGAAAAAAATAACTTACTTAAAAGCTAAATACATTTTTTCCTTCTCAAGATCCTCATACAAAATATAAGTTCCTGACTTATGAGAATCGTCCTCTAAGATTCCATCCACTTCAGTACGGCTCAGTATCACAGGTTCAAGTCTGGAAAAGTAATACGAAGAGGTACTAAATTTACAGAAAAAAATATTGTTAAGTTTTATAATCTTTTATTATGATGAACAATACATACCATGATCGTATACACTAAGAAAGTTGCTGATTATACCAATATTGATTATACCGATATATTAAATTTGTATTGTTTTCAAATGCTAATAATTTGTTCTGTATTGCCTACTTTACATAACCCACAAAAGTGAAAATTGTAGTTACATAACCTCTAGATTTTTTGAAAGAACTTTTAAAATCCTTAGACTTTAGATAATTTATTCTTAGCTGTTTTTCTTTCTCTTTTATAACACAAATAAATGGCATTAGAGGTTTGAGCCATCTGGCCTACCATTTGGCCAGAAATGTCTCGAAGCTTCTGCATTCTTATTAAGCAAATGCTTCTCTTCGTTTCATTTTCACAATCGCAGCTAAGACAAAGCTTCCTGTTAGACAACTGAACATCTTCATCTTTTGCTCTTGTACTGAGTACTGCATGGTTTTGACATAATTTTCGTCAATTCCTTTTCTAATTTCCATGTTCTCTAACATTTTGTTACGTGCTAAAGCCACAGAGTAATTTCGGCCCGACGTGTAGTCACAACTAAATTAGCTGGCTATTGGGGCTTTGCTCACAGTTTTTAAGAGCAATGTAAATACGAGTCAGCATCTGTTAAATTTCATTAGGTATGACAGTCATGTCACATTTTCGTTAACATTTAAACCTAATTTATTATTTTAATGTTTAACTGAGTACAATTAAAAAAGGTACACGGCAGAAATGGTTAGAATAAATACTAAATAAATGTATTAGAAACATCAGAATGCTAAAGTAATAACCAGAAGATTAAAGAGTTTCCTCATTTGCCGACGCTCTAATCTTGCTGTCCTTTTCATATATAATGAAAACGCACGCATCTCGCTCTTCCGAACTTACTTCATCACGCTTGTAAATTTCTCACTTTTGGTTCATTTTATTGCATTGGTTTTTGCGCGCATTTACAAATAATATGAAGTACGTTAATTAAGTTTCTCGGCTTTCACTCATTTACAAGTTAAAAGCATTATGTATATCACATCTGAATAGCTCATTTGAATATCAAATAGCAGGTTTATTTTCAAATAAGTGTACCAAAAAATACTCGTCATAAGACGATGAGTAAATAATTATTCTGGATCCCTATATTTAATATATGGACTTAGAAACTTTTTTTAATTACAATAATGCAGCAAATATTTATAAAACTTATGTATTAACTACATTATAAATGACACGAACAAGATGTCTTATAAATTACATGAATTCGAGATATTATTAAAAATAAAATAAAGATACGAAACATTAACAATTTGTATACTTTTAAATCGTTCATTTAGTTAACTAACAAACTCTTTTAGTTTGAAAGACAAATTAAAAACCATATCGAACACATCTAGGTTTGAAATAGCAAATTGCCAGACCGCGTGAATGATAAATGATAAAAAAAAATATATACTTCATCATTCATGAGGCGACATCTGTCAAGCCTCATGAATGATAAACGATCTGATAATGTAATGCATAAAGAAAATCAACAAGCAACGAGATTTCCAAGATTTTACCTTGTCTCCTCACTTGTCCAGAAACACATACACTATTTTGTTTAAATTTAAGTATTCATTATCAGTTGCGTTATGACTTATAATAGAAAAGTAAGATTTGCTTCTACAACCATTCTTAATGCTAGGCGCTAAAAGCATACACTAGGGAGCCTTTTAAGAACTTCGATTATCGAAAACATATATCCTTAGTCACAAATTACTCAAGAAAACAGATCGCCCAGTCAGTAGAACTTCTTATCGCACTTTTGTACGAATCAGAAAACTACATTATCTAGACCAAGTGCTGAAAACCGAATATCCACTTCCTCCTTTTTAATGCCTGCATGTAAACGCACGCGCCTGTCTCTCCCCCTTCATTTTTAAATCCAACATGATACGACTAGACAGGATGTAGTTGCGAAATAACAGAAACAAGAACGTTTTTTCTTTAGTTGCATTTATTTGTAAGGTATTTCATTTTAATTAACCAATTATTATGATTTATCCTCTACTATAATTTCTTCTTTCCGCATTTCTTCACCAGAATGAAATTAGGTTTTTGTGTATTTAAGCTGAGGGTTTTGAATATGTAGATGAGAGCTTCTGGCAGCCGCGTCTTGCTGCGCCGTAACTATTACAGTTCTGCCTAAAGTTATATTCCGGCGTTAGGGTCTTACAAGCCGGTATTATCAAATAAGCCCAGTAAAATTCTGAAGTAGCTTAATTAGTCTATTTTATGTGCATTATCCAACTACGTTATCTATATTTGAAATTTAACTTTGCTATCGTAATTTAAACACCCGCAAGGTAGCTGAAGTTCGTTTTAGCATAAGCTGTGCTCTTTCTGTTCATTTTAAGGACTAAATAAAAAGGTTATTTTAACACCTTACAATATTTGTGATTTCCTTAAGACTCAGTGATAACTCACTATCTGTCTGCAGGTTCTGCAGGACTTTAGCTTCAAGTTACAGTAGAATACTACATATTCTTGTTTAATAAAAGATTTAAACAAAAGAGAGAAACTTCAGTTTAAAATCTTTTACTTTATGCAGTGCTGCTCCGATTTAGTTTTGAGATAAGTGAGAAGAATTTTATTACCCAACGAACAAAGTTTATTCACAGCTTAGTAATTTAGCAAGTAGAACCCTAATTATTCATGCACCGAACCTATTTTTCTTAAAACTCATTACACCTTTGGCGTGGATTCTGTATCGAAGGCACAGAAAGGAACACATGATTTAAATGCTACTAGAACATTACTACTGTTTACTAAATAGTAATGAGCCGTTACATTTGGTGACATTCTCATGCTGAAGTGACTACGGAATGTTGCGCTAATATAGCGAATATCTGCTTTAAACCTGAAAAACTGTAGAACGGTAGTCTCAAACTCAAACTGCATGAGGGCCGAATGCTCTATCTGAAAACAGCTGACGGGTCTTTTTTTTTTTTTTTTTTTTTTTTTTTTTTTTGACAAAATAAAAAATTTTTGTTACCAAACGAAATAATATTTAAACTAAATTTTAAATTTTGCTAATTAAATAATTATCAAGATAAAGACATAAATAAATACTTAATGGAGTTTTGATTCTGATAACGTTTGCAGCCTGGGAGAGAAATTACTAGAAATTACCTTTATTACCGATTGTTCATGCTCATGGGTCAATCGGCTTTTTATCGTATTAATTTTCAACTGTTAAAAAAGTGTTCACATATAAATGTATTTCCAAACTAAGCAACTAGTGGAAAAGTTTGTAACTGAGTTTATTTCTTAACAAGTACGAATAAAAGTTAATAAATTTTTGTATCTGGAAACCTCTGAATAAGATCACTGTAAATTAATTAGCTCCATTTATAGATTTTCTAGTGCATTATTCATGCTTGTTTTCAGTGGAAATGAAAATAATGTAAACTCAGATTTCAAATAACTAAACATTGAAACTTTTGCAACGCCATATTTTCAAATAATACACGACTTAAATTTCTTGGTGGACCGCATAAAACTGCTTCAGGGGCCGCATCGCAGGTCGCCAGTTTGACTTTATAGAATATAGTGGAATAGTGGATATTTTTAGAAAAGTTCACATTGGTAAAATGCATTAAAATTATTTGTTCTTGCTACATTTTTAGTCATTCTCTTTTCATTCACGGTTCTTTCTATATTTTTACCATTCTAGTTTTAGTTTAAACGTAAGACAAAGCTTCGTACTGAAACGTAATTACAATAATAAATATATTTATTCTTATTGTACGGATTAGCTTCACAATGAATGATGTTCCACAAAAATTACACACTTGCATTTTTAATGCAATATTAAATTCACCAAGATATGAAAAGAAGTTTAAAAATGACACATGCGTTATAAACCTGTTAATTTTACTTTTTTATAGTGTACTTTTTACCTAAAACGGTTGAAGCCGCTCGTTAAACGTGTTTTTAGTTATCCGATGTAGCATCGTTCAGCATTACCTCGACAAATGGAGGTTGTAAAGTGTTTATAAATTTAATACATTTATTTGAAATGATAGGATAAAGCCTGGCATAACTGGAGTAATTCACATATAGAGAGATGGTATTCGTGAATATGAAGAAATGTGTAAGAATTAATTAATTTCAACTGCAACAGTTTAAAAATTTTAAATCGTGATAATTTTCAACAGAAATTTTCAGCATTTTATAAAATCAGTATAAAAGACCAATGATAAGGGCTGCAGTGGTAGCAACAGGGATGTGAGGGTGAGGATGAGGAAAAAACTTGAATAATATACCCTAGCAAAATATACCTGAGCGAAATAAAATTTCATCTCACTCAAATGATATGGATCTCATTACGGTAGAACCATTTCGGATAACTCATGGCCAAGCTTGTTTTTTTGGGGGGAGGGGGAGGAATAGCTGAGAGGGCAGTTTCATTTTTAACAATGCTACTTATAAATATATTTAGAGTAAAATAAACTTAAAAAATTCCATTTTCAGCTTATAAATATTTCATATAATAAATCAGATAAAGGAAACAATACTCGTGATGATAATAATAATAATAATAATTTTTTTAAAAAGACAAGACTTAGCTAAGAGGTAACAAATTTTCCAACAACCTGGATGCAATATATAAATATGTAAGACAAAAAAAATGTGTGAACTGTAACTATAAGTTATAATTTAAATTAGCAATAGCCCCTTGATGCTTAATTTTAATTTGATATATCGTCTCTGTATTCTAAAAATAATAAGCTTCTTCTGCTTTGCTTCATTTCGAAACTTATCCATGTCTTATAACTCTTGCATAACGTGGGTGACGTAAAATAGAACTAAGACTCAAACAGCCAATAATAATTTTACAGCAGTATTAATTATCCAATCAAATGCATTGAGAATCGAAACTCACTCGAAATTAAAATTTCAATCCTTAACACAACTGCACATGCTTTCTACACTTCGGCCTAATTGGATTGCTGAATCCAAGTCCATTTCCACTTTCCCTACACATGACTTTTATCTTGTGGATTTCACCTTCCAGGCAACTAAAAGCATTGGTCTACTTTTCAGAGCATTGGTCTATTTTTCAGAGCAAGGAAAGGGCTGATGATATCTGATAAATGCGCAACATATTTTCCACTGGATCAGGATTATTGTCTCTGATAAATTTTGATTAAAAAAGATAGTTAACTAATACATAGTTAATAAAGAACGCAGTCTTATGGTTTCGTTCGGAGTCGAAGCCATTATAAACATAATCAGTTCGGCTACTGATAGATCTAAAAGATTGAAAAACATCAGAAAGAAAAGCATTGTAGTAAGCAAAAACTGAAACTAGATAAATTTATTCGATGAAATTCTAATATAATCGCTTAATCGATAATGGATTAATATATGAATTATTTCATTTCTTATTATTTTTTACAGATTTTTGATACTGCAATAGAAATTTGTTTCCTTTATTCAAAACTAAAAATGGAAATATCTATTCAAAATCCTATTCATATCCATTTTAAATCATTAATTCCCTTAAAGGCAAAAAACAAGAATTAAAGCAAAGCTGTGAATCGAATTAAAATGAACTTATCAGGAAGGGAATAAAAAACATGAATAACTATTTCAGCGTCAAACAGAAAACTGCTAAAACATTATAAAGCGTTTACTAATAAGCAATAATTTTTAGGTAAATCTAGTTCAACATCATTTGAATAACGATTTAAACAGTAAATATGCTGAAAAATGAAATAATGCTTAAATTTGACACCAAACTTCATTGGTACATCCAAACTAGGTTTTAAATAATACCCATGTAAGGACTTTCTATGGTGGATATGTGTTAACAAAAATACTCCACAATCATAGAATGTCTTTTATGACTTCAAGAAATTGCCAGATTCGTAATCAAAATTTTAAAATAATCATGTTTTTCACACGATTTTTCTTGTTGAAACTCGTACTCAAATATAGCATTTGAAATAGGAAGACAATATTTTGCAAACGTATTATAGCATTATTTTATTGTAAGAAAAGAGCATACAATTAAAACTTCCAGACGTAATCAAGCTGATTGATTAAAAAAAAACAGTTGCTCATATATTTGTTTTACAGCAAATGTATTTCGAGGAGATAGCAATTTGTCACATGTCGAATTTGGGGAAAAAGATACCGAACAAATATTTTCAGCTGAGAAACTTGAAAAAAAATTAATTTTAAACTAGAATTTCTCTATTATTTTTATAGTGTTGTAGTTTATATAGTCCTATCACTGATTTATATTGAGTTTCTCAAAATATGCACAAACTAAAAGTAATCTACAGCTTAATTCCATTTAAATGAAATACGAGAAGGAAAGAAGCCTATTTAAAAGAAAATCAAATTTTTTAAAATGCGGACTTTTGTCAATAGGCAACAACAAGTTCTTAGCGTGGAATATACAGGGCATTTATAAAGTCTCTACACATTTTCCCTTAAAAAGGCTTTATTCTGAAATATAAATTATTTACATGAAAATGCAACATAACATAACTCTAAATTAATGCAATTCCCCCCCCCCCGAGTTGTCTAGGCACAATTGCCACCATTCCGATACACTCTGGAACACCTTATGTAAAAGTTATTGGTGTAATTTCAGCTGTTGCAGCCGTAATTCAAATGTTTTAATTTTTCAGTGCTGCCAGTCTTCATTCGGTACACTTTGGACTTGACAAAACC